GTCTCCTGGTGATTGTCCCAATGTCACCCACTGAGCCTTTATGCCTAGTCAGAATTACAATTCATGGTCTCCCAGTTTCTCACCTGGTGCCTTCACCATTAGATCAAACTGGCTACAATCTCTGAATTCCTTCTCTCCAGTTGTTGGTTGAGCTTACTGCAGGCCTGTTGTTATGAAAGGACCCATGTTTTTGTGAGCATTGATATATGCCTTCTCAAAAATGATTCTGGGTAGATCAAAATTGACAGTGAAATGTTTTTATTTTGTTCCCGTTTTTATTTGTTTTAATGGAGCATTTTCACAAGTTGTCTTGACGTCTACATGAAGGGCCTTTATTGTCACAGAATGGTTTATGTTTTCCAGTCTCCTGCAGGTGTCAGATGCTGGACCATCCTGTTTAATGTTCATCCTGAGCTGCTCTTATTTCCCACAGTGATCCTGGGGAAGCAAGTACATGGTTCAAGAGAGCCATTTCCATGTCCTTTTACCATTACAGCAACAGCCTTTGCAGCCCAATCTGGTTGAGACCAGTTGCCCGAATATTCGGATGGATCCAAAGATCTGCCCTGCAGACCCCAACTGGATTGCTTTTATTCATAGCAACGACATCTGGATCTCCAATCTGGCAACCAAAGAAGAGCAGAGGTTAACCTTTGTACATAAAGGTGATGCTGGATGATCCATGGTTTGTTGAATGATGGTTTATTGAATAAAGTAGAGTTGACTGGCTTTGCAAAAACAAATGATATTTGGGATTAGCGTAGTGGGTAAACCAGTCTCCCCTAGCAAAGCCAGATATCTACAGAATTATTAACGGGAATTGATTAGACCAAACCATGGTTTATTTTCTTGTCCCTGATTAGTTTCATTCTTTTGCCTTGTATGTTGCCTGCAACAGAACATGCCAACGTTGAAGAGGACCCCAAGTCGGCTGGCATCGCTACCTTTGTGCTACAGGAGGAGTTTGACAGATACACGGGCTACTGGTGGTGCCCAGCAGCCGAGCCAAGTAAGTAATCAAGGTGGGGCAGCTCAAGAAGCTTCCTTTAACTTCCCTGATGTCAGCCATCCCCCGCTTAGAACAGAAAGGCTCTTGAACTCATGGTTAGAAAAAATACCCTTCACTAAAGCCAGGTTGGGTTGTCTCTTGGAAGGCGAACCATCAGACAGCATCTGAGATCAGGCAGCTGTTGGGGAGAAGTCAAATATGTTGGCCTTTCCCTGGTTTCTCTCTTGATAGCTGTTGGCGGAGGGAAAATCCTTCGAATTCTGTATGAAGAAAACGACGAGTCGGAGGTGGAAGTTATTCATGTCACGTCCCCCATGTTGGAAACCAGGAGGACGGATTCTTTTCGGTATCCCAAGGCAGGTGAGAACCTGGTGGGAATGTCCAGAAAGGGACCAGTGATGCCCTAAAACCAAGAGTGGGATTCTACCGGTTCAGATGAACCAGGTGGTAAATTTACACCTAGTTCGCCGAACCGGTAGTTGAACCGACCGGCTGGCCCTGCCCACCCCGCTCCTCCCATGAGTCTCCACATGGCCCGTTTTGGATGCAGCTAAGTGCAGGGTTCGCGTGGAAGCTCTGGGAGGAGGAAAAACGGGCCAAACCGGAAGTCGAGAAATGGGCCTGCTTCCGGCTTCCGGAGCCCGAGGGAGGCCATTTTCATTGTCCCAGAGGCCTGAAGGAAGCTTCCGGACCCTGGGGAAGGCAAAAAACAGCCAAACTGGAAGTTCCAGAAGTTTGGAAACAGGCCTATTTCCAGCTTCCGGAGCCCAGGGGAGGCCATTTCCTCCCTCCCAGAGGCCCGAGGGAAGCCTCCAGGTCCTGGGGAAGACGAAAAATGGCCAAACCGGAAGTTCCGGTGGTCCAGAAACGGGCCTATTTCCGGCTTCTGGAGCCTGGGGGAAGCCGTTTTCGCCCTCCCTGAAGCCCAAGGGAAGCCTCTGGACACTGGGGAAGACGAAAAATGGCCAAACCGGAAGTTCCGGTAGGCCACGCCCACCATGGCCACACCCACCCTGCAACCAGGCAGCGAACCAGTTGCACCCCTGTCTAAAACAGTATTTTTCAACCACTTCAAAATGTGTGACTGGAGAATTCTGGGAGTTGAAATCCACACATCTTGAAGTGGCTTGAGGTTGAAAACACCACCCTAAGCATCAAGATCTGGGTACCAACCAACCTTGGAGAACAAACATAATAAGAACCCTTTAATTCCTCCAGAGCCCTTAATGTGTTTTTTTTTCCTCTTTATAGGCACTGCAAATCCCAAAGTCACTTTCAAGTTATCTGAAATAACCCTTGGTTCTGATGGCAGAGTAAGCCTGCTCTGTGGTGGTTTTTTTTTATGTCTCAAATAAATGTCTATAAATGTGATTACTTCTATTGTTTGAACTGTGTCGCTCTGAATTAATTGTAGTGTCCTGAATCACTATAAACCATAGTTCGATTCACATTGCAAAAAGCCACAACGGGGTTCATTTGGGCCTTCGCACACCGCACAAGTTCAAGAGTTGGGGCTGATGACTTAACACGAACAAGCCATGCTGGTTTATAGGGTAATTAGTGGTGATTTCAAACTAGGGCTTAGTAATGTGATGTTATGGGATGCGTCGAGTTGTGGGTTAATTTGAAAAACAGGCTTAGCTACTTGGTCGGGGTCAATGGATGAGAAAGAAAAGGCTTGTTCGCAAAAAGGATCAGGAAATTTTTGGAAATTTAAAAATTGGTTAGAGTGGGTGAGGCAGTCATGTGAAAAAGTTATAAAAGTGTTTTTCAGCTCAATTCCCCAGCCAGTCCATATATTGTGCTGGCTGTGGAATTCTGGGAGTTGAAGTCCAAAAATCTTCCAAATTGCCAAGTTTGAAACACGTGTGTTCTATAGAAGGTCATTGCATCTGCAGATTAGACAAGAACTTCCCTTCTCTTCTTCCTCCTTCCTTTCCCTTCTCTTCTTTCTCCTTCCCTTCTTTCTCCTTCCCTTCCCTTCTTTCTCCTCCCTTTCCTTTCCCTTTTTTCTCCCTCCCTTCTAAGTGGTTCTTAATATTATACCAAATTTAGGGTTAAAATACTCAAGATTTTCTGCATTTCCTGTTTGAAAATAGCAGATTGTGCCGCTATGGGTGGAAACTAGGAAAGTAGGATTATGGGCTTTGTTACAGACCATTCCTGCCCTAAAGATTCCAAATAACATAATAGGAGCCAGTTTTGAGCCTTACAAGCTATGAAACATGTGAAGGTTCCTGGGAAAGAGATTATGACCAAGTCTATTCTTTGTCCAGAATTTGTTTTTCATTTGTTTTTCATCCGTGCCTCTTAATATATTTTGGAGAAAGGTATTCGTAGTTTTTCTAATTGGTGTTCTCCCCCTCTTTCCTGAAGATTTTGGGTGCTGTTGACAAAGAACTGGTCCAACCCTTTGAAATCTTATTCGATGGCGTAGAATATATCGCCAGAGCAGGATGGACACGAGAGGGAAAATAGTACGTATTTTATAATTCCTCCATTTGCTCAGCTTTGGACTGGGCTGTTCTGAGCCCTGGTGGTTCATAGCATCCTCGGGTTGGAAAGAAGGCCGACAGATTTTCTAGTTCAGGGGTGTCGAACTCAATGTCTGGGGGCCAGATCCAGCTCATGGGGTGCTTAGATCGGGCCCGCAAGGCCATCCTGGAAACAGCGAAGGACTAGCCCGTGGTGCCTCTGCCAGCAAAAATGGAGCTTGCGAGGGCTGTGTGCAGCTCTCCCAGGCCCCGTTTTCAGCCACAATGGCCTCCTGCAGCCCTCTGCCAGCGAAAACAGAGCTCCGTTTTTGCTACAGAGGACTGCAGGAGGCCGTTGCGACTGAAAACGGAGATTGGGAGGCTGTTTTCGTTGGCCGGGCACTCGGACCACCACCGGCACCCCGAACACGAGTGACATCGAGATGGCTACGTCCACGCCGGCCATGCCCACCCCGGCCCTCCAAGATCAAACACTGGAAGCTTTCAAAAAGAGACTGGACTGCCATTTGTCAGACATGGTGTAGGGTCTCCTGCTTGGGCGGGTGGGGTTGGACTAGATGACCTATAAGGTCCCTTCCAAATCGAGTTGGACACACCTGTCTAGTCCACCCCTACACCCAGTGCGAGAATATCAGACCACCCTTGGCTGTCCAATCTTTTCTTGAATATTCCCACTCATTGAAGCCCCATAATTTCAGGAATTTCCTTATCCATCAGTTCAGCTCCAGGAGATAAAACGTCAAGGAATATTGTATCTGGTTTCTGATTCCTTTCTCCTTAGCGCCTGGGCCATCCTGCTCGATCGCTCTCAAACCCGGCTGCAGATTGCTTTCCTTCCCCCAGCCTTATTTATCCCTGTGGAAGACGACGCCATGGAGAGACAGAAACTAATCGATGCTGTGCCTGACTCCATTACCCCCTTGGTCGTTTACGAAGAAACCACAGACATCTGGATAAACGTAAGGATGTATTCCCTCAGGGAAGACCTGCTGAAGGTCTCTAGCTTTGAATGGAATTGCTGGGATGTCATGGAATATGGGTCCAGAGAGAGATGGGGGGAGGGGGGGAAACACCAGCTAATGGAGTTTGATAAGAAAGCTTTTTCGGTCAACAGGAAGAGTTGGTTAGCTTAGGCAGAGCCCAGGAGTTGTATAGCAATAGCCCTTAGACTTATACACCGCTTCACAGGGCTTTGACAGTCCTCTCTAAGTGGTTTACAGAGTCAGTGTATTGCCCCAACAATCTGTCTCCTCATTTTACCCACCTTGGAAGGATTGAAGGCTGAGTCAACCTTGAAATGGTTGGGATCGAACTCCTGGCAGTCAGCAGTCAGCCTGCAATACTGCATTCTAACCACTGAACCACCAGGGGGGGAGAGAGAGAGGGAGACAGAGAAAGAGGGATAGATAGATAGATAGATAGATAGATAGATAGATAGATAGATAGAT